TTTGCCACACAAAGCCGAAGGCAAGTGCATCGGAAGCCAGCGCATGCCGACCGTGTCCCGCGTCCCATGTGATGGACCTGGCTTGGGGCCGCGCAGAACTAATCCACCGCAGTCCTGCAGCGGCACGAATCGAACGCAGAACTAGTCTAGCTAACCCAACGCGGCCGCCGCCAGGAGCCCGCGAGGCGAGCCAGGAAGGCGGCGCGAACGGCCACGTCGACGTCGGCCCCAGAGCGGGCGGCGCCGCCGGGCCCTGCAGCCCCCCCTGGCCCTTGCCAGGAGGGGCGGGAGGATACCCGAGTCTTGAGCAGGGACCGACCGTCCCGGCAGTCCTATAGGCCTACCACGATATGTTCGTAGAACCCAAACATGCGATAGTGGCATAAACAATGTTCTCAGATCACCAAGTGTGCTTCAAGAAGACAGTCCCAGCCAGAACCGATCTGAGAACACTTCGTGCAGAAGAACAAGCTCTTAGGACATCCCCTGGTGGGCCTGTAGGCGAGCCAGGACGCTTCGCCACTGCTTGAGAGTCAGTGACCCGTCGACGGGAGCTCGCACCCCTCGGGGCCGCCCCGCGGCTCCAGCGCGGGCCCGCCCGAGCCGGGGCCCTGCGGCTCCAGCGCGGCAGAGCCGCCGGAGGAGCCGCGGTCCTCCGGGGGCGCCGGGCCTGCAGCGCGGGGCGCCCGTGCCGGCGGGCCGGCGTCCGCGCCGGGCCGCGGCGGGGGCGCCGCGGGGGGCGCGGGCGGCGCAGTGCCCCGGCTCGGCGCTGTGGACGCGCAGGAGGCACACAGGCACGGCCACCGCGGTCGGCTAGCCGCCAGCATGACCCTGGGCAAGAGTGACCTTTTGGTGCGCGGCTTTTGGGGGGCCGCCGGGGGGGTGGGGGGGCCAAAGTTCAGCGCGCAAGACGCTTCTATCGCAGCGCGCTCACCGATCGGGGGGCCCCTATGGGCCAGCACCAAAGGTCACTCCGGCGAAGAGTCACTCATACCCATCGGTCGGAAGAAGTTGGTGGAAACATGAAGTAGGAAGGCGCTGAAAATAGATTGGGTTCCGTCTGCCCCCTGAGGAGAACGGAAAAGGTGAAGCCACTCGATCATTCGAGTAGGAAGGCGCTGAAAGTAGACTGGAATCTGAGCGTCCAAAATACCTACTTTCAACGACCGAGGGGTACGTGTAGTCGACGCGGTGCCTGGCTGGGGCCACGCTGGGCCGCTGGGCCCCCCCGGCACGGTGTGTGTGTGTGTGTGTGTGTGCATGCCCTGCTGGCCGAGGCCACGAGGGCGCACATGCGCACGCCACCCGGGGGCCCGGGGTGGCCCTGGCCAGGCTACGTGGTGATGGTGGCGCGTGTGGATGCCTCCTGCGGATGTGGAGGCTCGGGAGGCGGGCGGGGCGCCCTGGAGCCAGCGGCCGACCCTTGAGGGGCCGTCGCGAAAGCTCGGCAGACCGAGCGGGAGCAGCAGGGGGTGCTGGCGGATCTGCTGGTGCGTCATCCGTCTGTCCGGACTGCGCTCGGTGAGCCTTGCCACGAAGTCCTTCGGGTCCTGCGACAACGCCTGCGCGTTGTAACGCTGCGGATACTTGAGGCAGGCAGCGAGGAGCTTGAAGTCGTCATTGTGAGCCCCGAAATCCAAATTGTTCTTGCGCGTGTTCACTGGCGGGCAAGGCTCTACCGCATTCGTCGTCACACCGCCCGTCAGCAGCACCCACACCAACACACCGAGCGAATAGAGGTCAGCCGCCGGACCGGTTGTCTCCTGCCGTAGCACCTCGGGTGCAACGTAGCCAGGGCTACCCGTTGGGATTCCGAAGGACCAGGCCCCGGAGGACTGCACCCCGAAGCGACCGAAACCGAAATCTGTCAGCTTGGCGTTGCCGTCGGAACTGAGTACTACGTTGTCGGGCTTCAGGTCCCGCAGCAACGTCTCCATGCGGCGGTGCATGTGCTCCAGGCCCAGGAACACCTGCCCGATCCACGAGATGGCCTGCGGCGGCGGCTCGTAGTTGCCGCGGGCGTCTCTCGCCCTGGCCTTCGCACCGCGGATCTGGGCCACCAAGTCGCCACCAGGGCAGAACTCCATCACGAGCACGTACAGCGCCGCCTCCGTGAAGTGGTGCACGTGGTGGAGCTGCACGATGCAGGGGTGGGGCTTCACCCGGATGCGGTCCGCGACCTCGAACTCCCGCCGCGCCACGGCCCCTCTGCCCTGGCTCCCGGCCGTCTGGATGTTCTTCACGGCGTACCTTGCCCCCGTCTGTGTGTGCCTCCCCCTCCAGACGACCCCGTAGGTCCCGCGGCCGAGCTCCGCCACCGTCGGCGGCCAGATGGACAGCCGCGCAAAGCTGGCACCCAGGACCTGGTTGACGCTGGCGGCCCCCACGCCTGCGTCGCTGAGCTGTGCCTGCCACCAGGCGACCGGCTGGAGGTCGGCACCCACCGGCTGCAGGTGGATCAGCTCCGAGACGCTGGGCAGGCCCTCGTCGTGATGCTGGAAGGACCCCTGCGACTGCGTCGAGAAGCTCGTGTCGCGAGACGCTTGCCCGCCGTCCGGCTCGGCGGTGGAGGCGGCCTCGTCGCGCGCCGGCGCCACCTGCACCTGGGCGAGGAAGATCTTGCCGAGCGCGCCGCCGCAGCTGCTGGCGACATAGGAGCAGAGCCCTGGAGCAATGAGCTCGTCCTTGGGTGTCAGCCGCTTGATTTTCACGACTTCCTCACTCCATTCCATGGACTTCCTCTCCTCGGAGGTCCGGGACACGTCGGAGCTGCTGCGGATGAGTCTCCCCTCCGAGTCCCGTTCCTCCAGCAGCGGTGCGCGGCCCCCGCGCTCCGGGAGGGAGAGCGGAGGCTCGGCCGACAGCGGGTGCATGGCCCGAAGCACCGAAGGGACGCGGCTTGCGAGGTCGCCAGGGGTCTCGCCCCTTCTGTTGCTTCTGTCTCGCCAGTCTGGCCTCGAGGCCGCCAGCACCTGGGCCACGTCCTCGCGACGGTATCTCGCGGCCACGTGCAGGGGGGTGTCCCCGTTCTGGTCCTCGAAGTGCTCTGGCTGACCTGGCGCGGGGCGCTCGGTCGTCTTCACGAGCACCCTGGCCGCGTCGCGGTGCCCGCGGGCGGCAGCAATGTGCAGGGGCGTCCAGCGGAGCCGCACATGCTCACGCAAGCACCCGCGGAGCGGCCGGTCGTCCGCCATGATGCGGGAGCACACGCAAGCACCCTCCTTTATCAGCAGTAAGCACACGCTCGCGTGGCCTGCGCCCGCGGCAAGCGCCAGCGGCGTGTTGCCATCGATGTCCGGCTTGTTGATGTCCACGCCGACGGCCGCACTCTGAGTGAGGTCCCGTATGGCAGACTTCACGTCTTCTACATCACCACCCACACAAGCTGAATATATGTCCGCCATTGTGGATGCACGCCGGGTCGCACCGTTGAAATGTACATACCATACTCCGCCCATCCTCGCTCGCCGAGAGGATAGAAGACGTGTGACATGTTGATCTGTCCACCTCCACTAATTCGTGCACCCTACGGACTGCCATTAGAACTCGCGCGCTTCTTTGGACACCGCGTCGATGATTCAATCTTGAAGGCTTGCGGCTTTCCGAAAGCGCAAATCACTCGATGCCAGGCGATTCTGGGTCACTGGCGGCGTTCAACCTTGAACGCCCGCGCTGGGGTCGCCGCCGCGTCGACATGACAAAATTAATTACAGGGAACAGGGATCCAGAGATCCTGCTTGCGGTGAACCCCTAGCTCGTCCCGCACGATTGCCCAGACACCCAAAACGGCCCAGGATGTCTCCAGTGATTGCCTCTCGAATGAAAATGGTCCATGCTAAACCACGACGTCCACATTTGCCGCAGTTAGCAACCCCAATGAGCCCCTCAGAGACCGAACTCATTGAATGAGGCCACTCGTAACACGTCACTCCGCTGGACCTCCCCAGGAGCTCACAAGCGTTGCGACAGCTACGAAATTGGCAACGCTCAACGAGGGCAACGCCAAAGAGAGGAAGGTCTAAGTAGGGTCCGCCTGTGACGTCGATCCGCTGAACCTCCCAGGAAATCACGAAAGTGGCAGTAGTTGCGCGCTTGGCAGCGCCCAGGGAAGGAGGTCTAGTTTGGTTTCGCGTGGGGCGTCGCTCCGCTGGACTTCCCAGGAGCTCACGGAAGTGGCGACAGTGGCAGTGTTGCAGCGCCCTGGGAGGAGACGTTAGTGTGGGTCCTCGGAAGACGTCGCTCCGCTTGACCTCCCAGGAGCTCACGAATGTGGCGACAGCCGCGAAGATGGGAAGTCTAGCTTGCATCCCCGTAAGATGTCACTCTCAGAAGTGGCGACGGTTCACAATTGGCAGCCACAGGAATGCGAGGTTCACTTAGGGCCCACTTGAGACGTCGCTCCGCTGAACTCCCCAGGAGCTCCCGTTAGCCTCTACAATTGCCCAATATTCAACCCACAGGGATGGCATGCCCACTTGGGGTCTCTTTGATACGTCGCTCCGCTAGACCTCCGAGGATACCACAAACGTGGCGCCAACTGCCCAGTTGGCAGCCCTCCAGGGAGGCGAGGTCCACTTCGAACTCCTTTATTTAAGACGTGACCCCGCTGGACCTCATAGGAGCTTACGAAAGTTGCGACAGTGGCACAGGAGGCAGCCACGAGGGAGACGGGGCAGGAGGGGACAAAGCAAAAGGAGAGGGCGAGAAAAGGATTGGCGCAACCGTGCTATATTCAACCAAAGAAACCCGATGCAAGAGGGCCAGGAACTCGGTATAGACATCACCGCCATACCAACCACACGCCCACCATGTTGCAACCATCGTCGTCATCGTCGTAGGCATCATCAACACCATTACCATCACACCGTACGTGAGCTGACCTTGCGTCTTCCCCGTTTGACACGGGAGGGTGTTTCCTGGACATGTGTTTTACTCTGCGGTCGGGCAGGCCACGATTCTCGCGGAGCTTCGCGCAGAGACGCGCAGACGCGAGCCCCCAAAGAGGAGCCCAATGAGGCCCCCCGAAGAGGGGCCCAGGGAGGGGAGCTCGAGCCCTCCCTCCCAGGGACAGTTCCCCGGACCACCGACGGCGGGCGCCCACGAGGGCCCCAGGGAGACTCCCAAGGGGCCTCCGGGGGCTCTCGAGAGGAACGGCCCAAAGAGGCACGCAAGAGACATCTTGCCCGAGATCAGGGCACGGTGGCGGGATCGGCCGAAGGCCGCTGCCTCCCCCCCTCGCATCTCCACTTGCCCTTCCTCATCATCTCACACTTCTTCATCCTCCTCCTCCTATACTGGGCCGCCTCCCCACATCCTCCACTTGATCCACGCCCTCCGCCTATGTTGCTCCACATTGCAATCACCAGCCACCGAGAAACCTGAGATATCGTCACCCATATCCATTTGTCGGGGCCGGCGAGTTGGCGTAAGCCTCCAGAACAAAAACAAATGATGCAATAACACCGCAATGAGAACACCGATTATCATCAGGTAGTGCTGCTGCCACATGAACTTGAGAACGTTCTGCATGTCAGTCAAGCCATTCTCGCGTGGAAGCAATATCAAGCAGGCCAGGCCTGGCAGCAACAACCAGACCCACACTGCGTGCTTGATGTTCAGCGCGCGCGACAGCCGGGTGGCCGCCCGGATCTTGTACGGCGTGTCGATGAACGCGAAAACGTCGGCGAATGTGCACGGAATACTCACAAGCATGCTCACCAGAAACGTGTCGTTGCCACCGAAGACCAGCACCATAATCACTGTAAGAAAGAAATCCAGCGCGAGTGGAGCCCACCAAAACGTAGTAAAGTTCCTCGTGATTACCATGAAGAGAATGAAGCAACTCACTTTCGACGCAACCTCGCAGGAGCGAAACAACAAGTGAAAGGCCTCGTAACGACAACTCTTGCGAATCCGCTTCGCGATGGTGCGCGAGGTGCAGAAGTCCATCTCCAACAGCCCCAGGCCCGCCGCCAGGAAGGACACGACGCCCACGAAGCCCACCAGCGTCCTCTCGTACTCCGCGAAAGGCCCGCTGCGCTTCGTGATGACCTCGGTGCACCTGCCATTCTCTGGGAGGCAGTCCCTGCCGCACGGGAAGTCCAGGCTCCAGTAGGCGTAGAGGATCACGGCAGACGACAGCAGGCCCTCGAAGAGCCCGTTCACCGCCTTGCAGTGGAACTTGTTGGAGGCCGTTGTCGGCGCCTCCCGCGCCCGCTCAGCGGCGGCCTCCGCGACGGACTCCACAGATCCCGCTCGAGGCCCGAGCTCCAGCGCCTCACCCGCAGCAGCCCCAGACCCGCCGCCCGCACCAGCGGCGCCCACTGCGGCGGCCCCCGCCTTTCGAAGAGGAAGGAGAAGCAGCACGAACGCAGGCTTTCGACGCTCCGCGCGGATTTCTCTTGGGTCGGAGCGCGCCAGGGGCGGCACCGCCGGCGCCGCCAGGGGGGCCCGGCGCATATCCGAGAAATCCGCGCGGAGCTCCGACAGTTCATGTCTGCACAATGTTTGCTCCTCGTTGTCGGGCACACGCAGGAGCGACCCTGCGTCCTGGGCAAGGGTGGCATTTGGGGCGCCGCCTGAGGACGCCGCGGGGGGGGAGCGAGTCCAGGCGCGCAAGCCGGCGCTGGGATGGGGGGACGTGTGGGCCCGCACCAAGGGTGGTTCCGGCGAAGGGTCACTCTTGCGCGCAGCCGGCCCTCTGTGCCATGACTGGAGGCTTAGACATGGGCACCAACACCAGCACCGAAGGTTGCCTCCACCAGGGGAAGGTGATCCTCGATGTTTGTGTTGGTGGTGATCTTTCGGCCACCTTGGAAGCCCGAATATTACCACCATCACCGAGATCGGGATCATCTTCGCTCGGTGGCTTCCAGTCCACAGAAACCTTCCACAAGAAACCCAACCCTGAGACCCCAGGACGGCCACTGATTCTTGGTGTGGGAACGTCACGCCTTCCATAGCAAAACCATCGAAACCCAAGAAACCCAGGGCACCCTGCAGGCAAGCAGGGTGTTTCTTGCCATGGGCCCCCACTGACTGTAAGCCTCCGACATGAGGCAGAAGGGGAAAAGGGGCTCTGAACAAATTGGCCGTCTTCGGCCTCTCGGGCACCTGTCCCGGGCAAAAGGGCCGTCAAAAAACATGGCTCGGGCTGAGGAGCAAGTCCGGGGGAGTCCTGGGGTTATCCAGCAGACCCGTTTCTCTCAAGACCCCTTTGGCTGAGGCAGACCCTGCACCACCTCGCGTACGATCCCACCGCGAGGGGCCGTCTCGAGATCCCCACTCCCAGCTTCATCGCGGCGGCGGTTGTAGAACTCCTCGAGGGCCAGGACTAAGATGATACCCTGCCCGATGCCGAGCAACAGCAACAGTGGCAACCGCTTTGGCCATGGCTGCGATTTAAGCGGCAGCACCTGGCACCAGAAATTCAGCTGGGGCACTTCGCAGTGCCAGGCTGCATGAGCACAGAACGCCCCTGAGAACAGGTAGGTCAGCAGAAGGAAGCCACAGAACCACGTGTCCCCAGACAGGGCGAAATTCACGATGGCGAAGATCTCGGACCCCCACGCGAGGAAGTGCACGCTGAGGAAAGCGATTAGGCGCCGCCTCGCGAGTGGGTCGCGGACTGTCGCGAGCTCCGCGAACGTGGACTGCCTCGACTGTCGCATTATGAGGGCTGAGGGGCAAGCTGTGATGGCAAGGGAAGTCCGGCCAGGAAAAGCACACACATAGGCACTTGACACACAAATGCTTGGGCCAACATGGTAAGGGACGAACGAGGCGGTGGCGGCGGACGATTAGGAAGACCCCCTCCCTGCTGAAAGATGTGAATGTGTATTTGAATGTTTGTACTTATGCATTCTAGATGAACATATGTATATGTACAAATGTACTGCTTCGGGCGATCCCCGCCAAGGAGCCGCTGCGCATGGCTTCTAAGTCGGTCTCGTATGATCCTGCAGAGTGGTCACTGTACTTGTCACGTATGCTTCCCACGTGCCCACAATGTGGCATGTGCTGATGGCGTGCACTTCCAAATGCACACTTCGTGGCATGCGTTGCTGATCAACACGATTCCGATCGGATTCAGTAATGGTGCACGTTTTGTGAGTTCCAGGGGTGTTATGAACTCGCATTGTTAATGCGGTAGTGATGCCAATCACTGGGTTATGCTATTGGCATACCATGATGTGTATACATGGTGTTGATATGGTGTTGCTGTCAGCGCATGCTGTCCGCCTTGGTGTTATTGATGTGCATGATTGGCATGTGTTATTGCTCTCGTTGGGGGTGGCATTTGTTGACCGCGTCTGTTTTGAAGCATATGGCTGCATGATGATAGTCACGCAAGTTCTGTGTATGTAAACGATGGAAGGTGTTTAATGGCGGCGGTGGCGTGCTGCGGTATGCTTATGGTGTTGGTTTGCATGTTGGCGTGTGGTGCAGGTTACCGGTGTACGCAAATGGTGAATGGCCATGCTGTGCATCATTTAGTACACTCTTGATGTACGGTGTTGGTGAATGGTCGCGGCGCATGGCATTGATGTAGTGGTTTAGTGTTTGCGTGGTTCGCTTGTTTGAGGTGTGCATATTTGTTGTTTCTCCCCATCGGATCTAATTCGCGTACATGTTCCAGAGTGCGCGTTACTGGTGCATGGTCTTGATCTAACTGTGTGATTACGGTTCTTGGTTTCTGCTGGTGTATTATAACCTTGGTATGGCATTCGCGTGTGATGTGGATGACTGGATGTTTCAAAATTTGCTTGTTCTTGGCGGATGTTATTGCGGTTCGTCATGCATGCAGATTCTTGGAGAATGTATAAGAGTGTGGTCTAACTGCCCTTGTCAGTGTCAGTGTGAGGTGCACGTCCTTGGTGCGTGTGTGTTATTGGTGTGTGTGTCAGTCCAGACATCACGTGTGGAGTTCCTCCTTTCCTCGGGGCAACCTCGCACAAGAAGACCATAACATTCACCATTACCGTCGTCGCCCGTCATCGCCATCAGTAACACTATCACCATGGAGGTCAGCATCATCATCAAGATCATAATCCTCATTTTTACAATGGTCTCCCTATTGTCCTCACCTTTCTCACCATCCGAATCAGAATCATAATCAGAATCATCATCAACATCATCAGCATCATCATCACCAACCCCATCAACAATTACCGTCTCCTGGGCCTCCTGCCTTCAGCAGCACAAAACCGCCGTCCCATTCAGGCTGCCCTTAAGAACACCCCCACAAGTTGTTTGTAACTCGAGCTGGCCATCCCCTACGTAGAAGCGTAGACACTCTTAGGACCGTGAGGCCCCCAATCATTGTTTCGACATCGTGTACAATGAGAGAATGCTACAACTCAAAGGATGCGTTGTCAGGTAAAATTCGCTACCTCATGCATCACGAGACTTGTTTGAGAGGCCGGATCTGTCCACCATGAACTGCCTCTGTGGAGCAATGCACCGCATCAAATCGTGATTGGACTCGAGAAGCTTGATCAACTCTTTCCTGCTGAAACCGTGAACAGACATGCCTTCGGTAGCGCATCTTTCTTGAACTGGTGGCTCCACTGGCTCGCGCTTTCGCTCAGACCACAGCAACCTTGTTACAACCCATGCTGCAGCAGGTGGGCGTGAGCGCAACCACATCACGGGGACAACAGTGGTATAATCAAAGTCGAAAACATGCTGGTAAGCTTAGGTATGTGTTACGCTTCAAGCGTTGCCATATCCCAGGCTTTGGCTCATATCGCATGAGCAAGAGAGCGAGACGAAGCATGGGATCTGGAGTAAAGGATAGAAGAGGCATCTTCAATGGCAAAGGTATTTTCCGATCTCAGATACCAGTCGTGCGCCTCGGTGAGGCACAGTCATATATTTGGCCGGGCCCGGCTTGAGCCAGGCACGGCAGCGGTACATGCTCGATTTATACCTCGCCTTTAACCTTCTCCGTTTAAAGTCGGAGGGGGAGGAGACGAGCAGGCACCGCACTTCTACATTACGCGGAAAAACAGTGCTAAGCAGCAGCGGCTGCCTACAAGGCAAGGGCGCGCGAGTAGCCTCGCTACCGGCGAGTTTCCTCGCTACTAGAGCGCACCTGCACGCGGGTTTCCCCGCTAGCTCGGGAGGCAGGGCCGTCCTGAGACGACCTGCCCGCCCTATACGGTGTATGTTTCTTCAGCTCGTGCTTGAAGGATTGCTGGCCGGCCATTACTTGTAGGAGCAACGCGCGGTCAATACTACCTTTGGTATGACCATCGGCAGTCATATCCCGCGTGTCACACCATTGAACGCTTTCAACGATTCCGCGCTCCATCATCTGGCGGATCCAGCTAATGTGCCCAAGCAGAGTACATTCTGTGGGCTTCTTCAGATCTTTGCTAGACAAAGACTTGAAGACAGACTCGGCATCAATAGTCAGAGTGACTTTGATACATAGACCACCCATTTCCAATATGTTCTTTAACTGTGTGGGGGTCAATGGTCCCGAGTGTAGCTCGTGGAGCGTTACAATGGTCGGGTAGCAGTCTTCCAAGTTGTGGGCTGCTGCCAGTGTTTCCGCAGAGTAGCTCGAACGCACCTGCAGTCGATGAGACTTGCAGTATGCGTCCACCAGGTGCACGACGGGTTTCCCCGCTTGCGTGTGGCCACGCCTCAGCAGGTTAGCCCCGCGGATACCATAGCCTTTGACTTCGTCGTCTTCATCTCCATTGAGACGGCGATAGCCAGAATCGCTATGCAGGTCAACTCTCCTGTTGGAGTCATAGCTTGATACACGATCTTCTTCGGACCTGCCTGTAGTTTCCTGGTAACCGCGTTTAGTCGTCGTACCTGGATGTTTGTCGGTTCCTGGATACGTTGTAGTGAGACAACATAGACCATCAGCCATACCTGCGTGATCAACGCATAGGCTAGAGCGCCACGAAGACTGACGAACATATCAGAAATCGTCTTTGTCGCTTTGCTCTCAGGATCAGCTCCTGTGAGTTCTGGATGTGTGATAGGACGAAGCTGTTTGATGTATTCGTCCTGATCAAGAGTGACGCTCCCATCATCGGTCTTGTTATACCGAACGGCACAGTTTGTGTATGTGTGCTTGTTCAGTTTGCACTTCCCAAACGTATCTTCAACACACTTGACATACTTGTCAATAGCATCTTCCTTCCCAGTCATATTGATGTCATCAACGTGCTTGGCTGTCAAGAGGTTTGAGCTCATCTCGAACTCTTCGTCGCATGAAGTAGGCTGTAGCCCAAAGCTCCTAGTGATGGACCTGAGCTTCAGCGAGAATGCCCTGGGAGCATCCTTCGTGCCCGTCCCCGGCTTCAGACACCGAAGACAATGCTTTGATTCGTCATATGACTCAAAGCCTGGCAGTGTGCGAAGGACAGCTGCTGACCCAGGTGGTAGTGTGAAGCACACCACGCGCTCTTTCTCGCCCGTTGCCGCGGCGAGCTCGCTATAGGTCATCCCTTCAAGAAAGCCATGTTGATGTCCAGGGAAGCGATGATCCAAGCTTTGTTGCATGCAGCAGAACTTGCGAGCAGTCTCTGGCTTGACCTCCTTGCCGTGCCAGAGAAGGTTTCGACATCAAAGGCTTCAAGGTCCATGAAGCCACGGAGTACCAAGCGTAACCTGATCGCCCTTTCCATTTCGCCCTTTTCGTTCTTGACAAACTTCCATTTGTATACGTAGCGTGAAGTCATGATGTTAGACGCTTTGCTCAAGTCAGTCATCTGGAAAGCATTTATTGTCAAGCCAAGTCTTCAATTCTGTGTAAAGGGCTTTGGAAACTTTGACCGGATTCGCTTGAATGTCGGCCTTCGTGAGTAGATCGTCTTCCTTGACGACCACGGCACGTTTGGAGGCAGCACTGACGTATACTCGCATGGTTGTGACGCTGCTGTCATCCAACAATCGGTGCTGCTGCTCGGACAGGACGACTTTGGACATGTCTGCTGTGAAGCAGAGCTCGATGTACTTCCCGTGCTCATCGGAGTCCAGATCATATTTGCTATCCGGATCCGTGGAGCATAAAGGAACGTAGTAAGAAGTGTCCATGTCGTATCCTGGCGGGTGACCCCGCTCCGGCAAGTGGCCTTGCACATCTTCACAGGTCGTAGAGACTAACACACACTGTGTGTCTGTCATGTATGTGGGAACTGTATGCATGACTTCTTCTGTGTCAGCTTCAAGGAGTGTTCTGTCATCCATCAGTTCAGCATACCACGACTTCAAGACAAAGGCATCCAGATCTTCTTCTGTTTCCTCTATGATGGTCGGGAGCCGACCATCGTTCTCCGCAGGAGGCTGCTCAGGAGCAGCTGCTGGAGGTGACTCGCTTGGTGGTGGACCATCAGCGAGTTCCTCAAACTTAGTGAGGTCTCGGTCAAATCCAGCAGGCGGCTTCCTGGATTTAAGACACTGGATGATGCGTGAGTGTGTAGATACTGTGATGTCGTAGATGTTCAAGGCAGTGCCATCAGCTTCATAGTAATGAAAACCAGGGGTCACATCATTATCATAGTGCACTAGTGTACAGCTGTCTGCATAGGGTGCAGCAGGCAACTTCGTCAGGCTCTTGGCAAGTCGTACAGCAACAACGTTTTCAATACGAAAGTAGTTGCGTATGAGGTACTGAAGAGCCAAGTGCACCTTAGGCGAAAGTCGGCTCGCAGCAGTCATCTGCAGCCGACCCTGTTTCGCTGGTAGATATCCGAAAGTCATGGCGGGTTTCCCCGCTGGCAGACCGGCAATAAAGGCCAATACTGTCC